TTAAAAAAAATCGAGGGTGGTGTTTTTTTTTTTATTCGCATCGGAATTTTTCTTTGTTTGATTTTTTTCCATGTTTGACTAAATATATTGTAACTATTGTATCACACAGATACCTTAGTTATTTTTTAAATATTAGCTATATATTAGTAGAATAATATCTGCAAATTATATCATAATGATTAAATTATTTCATGAGATACAGACCTCCAAAGTTTGCCATTTGTCGTTCGAGCAGGCATGTTTTTCAATTTTTAGAAAAATAAATAAATTTTAAATAAATATGATTACTTTATATTACAAGCAAGCTATACCCATAGTTTGCGCCTAAAACGTATTAGAGTTCTCCTAATGTTATCGCTTTAGTTATTCACTCTCAAACGGGCCCCCTCCATCAGTGCGCGTTAATGCAACTGTCCACCACCTCATGCCTTACGATTTTTCCTGTCCCCAAGTATTTTTTCTAGTCAAAACTAAGTTTGGATTCGTTCATACCAGACACTAGACAATAACATATAAAAACATCAGTTGATTTGAAAATGTCGACTAGCCATCCTTTGGTCGATCTTATCTGAAATCACCCTACTGTTAAATGTAGCAGAGCGTGTCCACTAAATTTAGTGCGTTCCACTGACGCGTTAACAAATCCGGGAAACTTTCTTTTTTTACGAGGCCGTATTTTTAAGACACATTCTGTGCGATTAACCGTGTGAAAAACTGTTGACTTCACTTACTGGCTCGCCCATACGACATAAACGCAAAGTCTCGATATATCAGGCATCCCGGAAGCCTCATCACAATCGGCTGAAAGAAAAGACGGGCGGCGAGCAACAAACCCCCCACGCTGTATTTACCTGCGGGCATCGCCCGGTCCTCGAAATGAGCCCCGAACACAAAAGCGCCCAATCGACGCGTTCCTTCCGCCAACCATAAGCCGAACCGCGAGAGGTCTGTTCGCTCCTCGGCCCACCGCACCACCCCCTCGACGAGCTTTTCGAAACCCGAGAAAGAAACAGCTTTTCGATGAAGTCGTTGGGAGTTGGAGCACCACGGCGACGCACTGCTCCGCGTCCCCCACCAAAAAAAAGAACTCAAGTCGCACCAAGGAGTGACAACAGCGCCCTGCTACAGCCTCACAAAGGCGTCCGTCCGGCTCAACCAACAAGTGAGGTGTGAATTTCTTTTCTTCGGAGTCTCAGCGGCTCCCGGTGTGTGTACGTCTTTCCATTCCTTAAACTACGCTCTCATTTTTTTTTTCTTCTATGGAATTCTTTGTTGGTATTTGCCGAAATTCCGCGAGAGTAGTGACTATACGACGTTTTGCCTTACGATGGCACGCAGGGGACGCTACAGGCCGTCCCAGCCAATGCAGAGCTGTGAAGCCATCACGTGACCAGACGCCCGGTGCGTCGCTGCGACCCCTTCCGTTCGTCACGTGGCACTCACGTGGTATTGGATTGGCTGAATGACTCGTAGCGTCTTCTGCGATCCGTCCGAAACGGAGCATAGTCGGGAGAGGGAAGTTGCCAACCGAAAGATTTCCCCGCCCGCGAGAACGAGCGGGGCGAGTGGTGAGGTGGGGGTCGGATCGAGCAACTTCAATGAACTTCGGCTGCCTTTAGGACTTCCCGAGATGAAAAGAAAAGTCCCGCCTTTTTGAGGGCGCGCGGAGTGTACGCCAGGCAGCGGCTTCGGATTTGGCTACGGAAGGGCGACACCGGAGCAAGTCGACGACTGCTGTTTGCCGGGGTGAAAGCAGGCGGAAAATGGGCGCCATTTGAGTCGCACCCGGTCGGCGGGCTCCCCCGCAAGGCTCGCCGTCAATGGTGCCAAACTCCGTGCCCTTTTTGTCCACGCGGCTCCCTGGACGGGACAGATTTGTAGACCCATTTGTCGCGCTTCCCCGAGGAACGACTTTAGGATTTTATTTTATTTCTTCGCCTCTAGCTGGCTTGGTTTATGATTTTTGAAGGGGTTGGTATATACCCTTTCTTGAAAACGTTTGTTCATCGGTTTCCTCGTGGTTTATGGACACCGAAGCTTGCTCCACTGCTGCGCGATGTTTGGGATCTAAAGCCTCTGCAGCGCGCAAAGTTAGTTGCCGCCATGTGTGCGTGGTTATCGGTGTTCTCGTGTATTTGATGGCTTTGTGACTTGCCCTCGTTTCAAATCGTCAATACAGATTTGCGCGTTTTTTTTTTTAGCAATTTATGTTCGTGTTTTTTGTTAGAGCACATAGCAACGAGGTCATTGTTCGCTTTCATTCATCGTATCGTTATATTAAAATAAAAGTAATTTCATTTTCTTGCACTTCACTGTAAAACTATTGCAATGCAGCATACATTTTTGCGATAATTCTACTATACCCTCCTAAACGAGCTAAATATAAATCCAATAAATTAATGCGCAAAGATTTACAAAGAAAAATTGTCTAAAATATTTGTGCTCCTGCTAGTTATACCGTATATATGACGGTTATCTCTCCGAGAGATCCTGGAACTACCTAAAATAAACATTTTGCTCTCAGATATGAAAACGCGAGTGCTGATCGCTCTGGAAGGTGAGCAAGGCTCGCACCTTAAGCACGAACACTGGAACTGCCTCTCGAAAAAAGCCTTTTCTTAAAACGGTCTATAGACATTTTCAGTGTTCACTAACTTACAGCCCCGCAAGCACAAGTGTGTCTTTTCCAAAGTCTGTTTTCAAACAAAGCGACATGAGTTCGGCGGACAATGGGCACGCGCAGTGGCCGATCTTATGAACGGCGCAGCGTTATGGCGTGTGCTTGCGACACTGGCTTGTAGGAGCTGTTCGCTATGACATGTATGGGGGCAAAGCAAGCAATAAATGGATCCACACGTGCTATTGTCACTTTTCGTTATAAAAAAAAAATATGCCCACACAACTTTCTAATGTCAAACATATTCTGCTCTTTCTTTTTTATTGTTTTTATACCAGTCTCAGTAAAGGTAAAAATAAATAAATTTTAGCCGGCAATTTCCGAGCTAGCTGCAATCAGCTTCGGATATCCCCAAGAATAAGGGATCTCACACGTGCAATACTTCCAAGGCTGAAAGCTTCCCGCATCAATCAGCGCTTCCAACCGCAACGGTTTCCAGTCACTCATAAAATGTCTCGTCACGTTTTGTGAGAGGCCCACGCAGAGCCCGAGCTCCAATACCCGCTCGCACGGAGATCCCGGAAAAAGCGCAGCGGCCGCTCGGCGAGCGCGCTCCCCCAATTACAAAACGCCGTCCCCGAGGCAGCAACATATCGAGCCCGGGAGGCCAGACGCCCTGCCTCCTCTCTCGGACCCCGGGCTCGCCCTTTACCCTCCCGCTCTCTCCGACGCGCGGCAACCCGGCCTGCTTTTTGGCTTTGCCATTGTGCAGGCGCCTCGGCAGTAGCGGCCGACCAATCGGCGCGGCGGACTGTCGAAGCGGCACAAAGGAGGCTTGCCCGACCGACTCTTTTTATTTCCCCGTCCCAGCGCCGTTGAAAAAGTCGCTGTTTCGGGAGAGACCCCTTGCCGCCGCCGTTTAAGCCCCGGATAATGGTTTCCCTTCGAGCTGCTATTTAAATTCAGTCCGCTATTTTATCCCGGCTCTTCGGAGCTGGAGCGCACAATCGGGTCCACAGATGGCGCTCGGATTAGTGGGCCGACCGAACGGGGGGAGAGGGGGACACACCATCGATGACAATGGCGGACTGCCCTGCTTTCAGCGGGCCTCCGGAAGGCATGGAGGGGGTGGCCGCCGCCATGTTTTGTGTGCCCCACGTTGGGCGCCAATGTCGGTTCGGTCGCCCCACGTCGGGCGCCAGACTTTGGAAACAGCGCACGTCAAAAGCCAACAAAAGGGAGTGAAAAAGAAATAAAGGCGTAAGGCGGACTATACGGTACGAGAACGCTAGCTGGCTTCGAAAAATTTGTTCGCGGGCACAATAGAGTGGTTTGTCGTGCCGAGATCATCAAATTCTCCCCGTCGATTTGTTGGCAAGACGATGCGCTTTTGACCGGATAAGAGTTTTTGACTGGCGACGACATTTGATGGAGATGCAGCTTGGAAAGCCTTTGATTCCTTCGCGACTTTATGCTTTGTGCGAGTTCACCTCTTTGTACTCCGAGAGCTGAGACTTTCATTTGGGGTGTAGCCTTTGCCTTCTTTGGTAAAGGCAAGTTCGGTCTGCAAACTTCTTATCTTGATTGTCTCAAAACCTTCATGGACGCAAAGCTCTTAAAGTTGGTCATCAAGTTTCTTGGCCCTCAATTTGGCTTTGGCTTAAATGAACAATCACGTGTTGCGAACATAACACGTGCCATTGCACCCAATCAAATTGTTACAAGCCGAATATACGGAGCTTGTATGACTCCGGAGTTGGAATGCAAGGTTCGGCCAACAACTATATTAAAGCGAAATGAAGTCTATATTGCTTATAACGAACCCCAATATGAGCCAATTTTAAATTACGACAAGTGAGAAATGTGTCAATGAAGACATCTATTAACAAAGAGTAAGCTGAATGACGCAGAAGGAGTGTGCTCAGAAGCCCGCTTTCACGTAGGGCCAGCACAACTTCATCCTCATCTCCAAGCGCTAATATGATGTTTTAAACAGCGTTTGCACTGTACCCGTGCGTGCGCGGCAGTAACTAAATTATGACCAAAGTACGGGAGATCACATGCTTGTAAAAAATAAAAGTCGAAAAGAGAAGAAGACAAAGAAAAAATGACCGCATCTCCACGTGGTGCATGATGTTGATTGGGGCGAAGCTCTGGTGGCGCTGATGATACTGATTTTGTTCATCGGTAATGCTGATGGTGCTGATTTTTTTTTCGTCCATAAACGCTGAGCCAATGCATGCAAAGTTTACCGTGATTATATACGCATTTGACCGCAGCGCTCTCTCCTATATAGACGTTGAGCGGCTACATGCAACGTTTCATCCATGACATCCCCGGCTCTTGAGTTACTACCACATCTCAGAGCCCCTATACTCGTCCCGCAGTCATGGCCGAGTGGTTAAGGCGATGGACTATAGAAATCCATTGGGGTCTCCCCGCACAGGTTCGAATCCTGTAGACTGCGCAAACATTTTTTTTCTTCTTTTTTTAAGAAGACAGATGGGATGGCAATCGATGTGAGCACGGACGCCGGACAAGGCTAGACCCTAAGGAGCTTCGTACCTAAAAAGAAAAGAAGAAGCAGTTGTCAACAGGCTGGTGCACAAGTCCATTGGAATGTATTGAGTTCTCAATCTATTGTACTTACTTGCCTTTTTGTTCAAAAATGATGGCAGCACAGCCATTTTACTTTGCGGTGGCTTTCTATTTGTTCTCGAAGTGTATACGCTTGGATGCCTGGTAGCGAACTGTGACGGCTAATTGAAATGCGTACCTTTAACTTCAAACTCTGCTTCCCCCGTATACAGTGACGCCCAACGCAATGAGAGCTTCCGGCGATTTAAACAGGCGTCCGTAATCCCCGCTGTACTTCAAGTTTAACTAAACAGATGCTATTTTCTTTCTTTAGCACTTTGCGCGTATGTCTCGAATTTGTCGACAACTGTGAGCAAGGGGGAAGAGTGGTTCAGCTCTGTGAAATCAGTGCATGGCACACAATCCGCCGATCATGAGTCGTTGAGTTCAGCAGTCTTACCAAGGAGCCGACAGTCTATAGAACTTTACATCGCTTATCACCTGGCCGAAAAATGCCGATTCCATGAGCTGCAGTGGACGCATGCACAGCGTCTGATATGCCGTACAGCAGAGCAACAGCGCATGTTCAGAAGGCGTTTAATAGCCCAGCAGACAAAGATAGGAGCGCGCAGAAAGCGATATTTGGAAAGGCTTTATCACCCACGATCTTACTTGCTGACGTATAAAAAAACCCTGACCGTCTCCAGATAGCACTTGATATTTGTTATCGCGACGCGAAGTCAGCTTGTTCAAGCGGGTCACAAGCTCCACGCAGTGAAGCGAACCCTGAGTATATAAACTCAGCCTTTACCAAGCTGCAGGGCCGTATACATGTGCTAGATCTTCAACGTGACATGATAGGCTATCACAGGGCGCTAATTGGACACGAGCACTGCATCATCGTTCACGTCGGACTCATGTTCAATCATCAAGGAGATGATTACCATGCCGAATACTGACGCCAAAGTGTTCAGCTTGTACATAGCGCCGACCACCCCGCGTGGATGACGTAAGAAACCCATCAGCATTGCTCTGGGTTCATCCACTTGAAAATGTCCCGATAAAATTAATCTACGCACGACTCACTGTGATAAGTGACCCCCGCCCTCTTTCCCCCAATCGCGTGGATCAACCAAAGACGGAGTCTCGCACGCGTGTCCCTACACTGCTGGCATCTGTTTGCAGGACGCGCCCGCATCTTTATTCGATCGCGCTGTTGGAAACTGTTTCCTTCCGGTGGCGCCGCGGGAGGCGCCGCTGGTGCGTGCAGGGCGGACGCGTTTATGCGCCGCATTGTGCCTCGGAACCGAAATAACACGGCCGATTATATGCGTAACAGAAAAAAAGAAAAAGAAAAGAGATCGCGGCTGCACGCCGGGTGTGAAGAACGCAGGAGGGAGGCGGGAGGAGGCTTCGGTTACGCCAAACCGCGAGACCACGTTAGATCCGAGCTTTGATATGCAAATCGCGTGGAAATGTGCGCCCCTCCACCCTGTTGACGCCTGATTCTCCACGTGCGCATGTGCTTGTGTGGCGACCCAAAAGTGATTCGCTTTGCTGTAGCCTTCTTCCTGTCTCGCTTCTGTTTGCTTTGTCTGGTTGATAGAAGATTGCCTCGGTTGTTTACAGAGGGGCTGTGATTGAGACTTATTTGAGGCCCTCCTCTTCGTTTCGTCAGGCGGGTCATCCCTAAAGCCGGTGTCACACTGCTTGTACATCATACAAAAGACAGTCTGCAAACAGATTCGAATTAACGCAAGTCAGCACGAGACCCGTGCTCCGAATGCCGCACGGAAACGAGTTCAAGGAAAAACTTGGCACGTGGAATGCGAACAACGGATATCGCGGTGACCGATGACTGCAGACTGCCTTTTGTATGATATATAAGCAGCGTGACTCCGGCTCAAGGCACTGTATGCAGACAACACAACAAACATCGCAATGTTACCCTGGAATATTTTAGGTGGCAGTCATAAAATATAATTAAGCAGTAATTAAACATTTGGACTCGTAGAGTTGTTATTTCACGGCTCTACAAATATTTTTGTATTAAATCCCATGGGCTACATTCACAAAATTTTCAATTTCTGTTCTTTTTTTTTACAAAAAATTGAAATGTTTCCGTATACTGTAATTACTTGGATATCATAAAACGTAAATCAATTATAATTTTGACATTTCCTCAGAAACATTTGTTCCACGTCACGTCCCAGAAAGTTGGCGAGGACCTTCAATTATTCTCAGAAATTCGCGAACTAAACACACGAAGAAAATACAAAAATCAAGAGCCCCTTTTCGAGTGCCCAAATGTGAGAAGTAATGTATCAGTCTTACCTGCAGTAAGCAGTGTTAAGAATTGCCGCGAGATAAGACCAAGGTATAGCAGCAACAATACTCTAAGAAATCCCTGCGCGTCTACTCACCCACGAAACACTCGAAGAGCCAAACTCTGCGATAAATCAGCTCAGCGAATGATGAGGCGGAACATCCGTTTAGACCTAAAAATGAAGTCTGCGCTGTGGCATTACGCAATGCAAGCATGACGCTCTGCATTGCGTAATGCCACAGCGTAGACGTAATTTGGAGGTCTAAACGGATGTTCCGCCTCATCATTCGCTGAGCTGATTTCCTAGATCGCAGAGATTGGCTCTTCGAATGTTTTGCGGGTAAGGAGACGCGCAGACATTTTTTAGAATGAACAGAATGTAGTGGTGTGATCCTGAGCAGACGTCCAAGGACCCTCGACGAAATCAACCTTGAATGTTGACGCAGAATGAAAGAAACAGATATTCCATCAACTTCAAATAAGCAAATAAGAGCCATCTAACTTCGTCTACAGAATAATTAGACATTTGGAAATGTGTGATCATACGCGAAGAAAATGCCGTGAAAACAAAATACTTTCTACCCTGATTGAGGGTGGTAACATAATTATACCTTATTCCATGAAAGGCTACTGTTGCTTGCTTGTGAAGCACAGCAATAGGTAACTCAAACATTTATATTCGTAACTTCAAGATAACGCTACCTTTTACCAAAATAATAAAAAAAACATTCGCTAAATAATATATATATAGGGTGTTTTTTTATTCTTACACATTTGCTTAACAAATCCGTGAAAGCTACACTAATTCGGTTTGTGCAGGTGGGTTATACGGCCAGGCGGACATTATCTGGGTGGCTAATCTTTGCGATAAGTCGGCTACTTAATAAAAATGTGTTAATTAACTTTTTAATTACTGAATATAAACATATGGTTTCAATTAGAAACTTGTAGAGCATCATCAAACACCACTAAATTAACTATTTTGGACTGAATATAAACATATGGTTTCAATTAGAAACTTGTAGAGCATCATCAAACACCACTAAATTAACTATTTTGGACTGAATATAAACATATGGTTTCAATTAGAAACGTAGAGCATCATCAAACACCACTAAATTAACTATTTTGGACTGAATATAAACATATGGTTTCAATTAGAAACTTGTAGAGCATCATCAAACACCACTAAATCAACTATTTTGGACTGAATATAAACATATGGTTTCAATTAGAAACTTGTAGAGCATCATCAAACACCACTAAATTAACTATTTTGGACTGAATATAAACATATGGTTTCAATTGGAAACTTGTAGAGCATCATCAAACACCACTAAATTAACTATTTTGGACTGAATATAAACATATGGTTTCAATTAGAAACTTGTAGAGCATCATCAAACACCACTAAATTAACTATTTTGGACTGAATATAAACATATGGTTTCAATTAGAAACTTGTAGAGCATCATCAAACACCACTAAATTAACTATTTTGGACTGAATATAAACATATGGTTTCAATTAGAAACTTGTAGAGCATCATCAAACACCACTAAATTAACTATTTTGGACTGAATATAAACATATGGTTTCAATTAGAAACTTGTAGAGCATCATCAAACACCACTAAATCAACTATTTTGGACTGAATATAAACATATGGTTTCAATTAGAAACTTGTAGAGCATCATCAAACACCACTAAATTAACTATTTTGGACTGAATATAAACATATGGTTTCAATTAGAAACTTGTAGAGCATCATCAAACACCACTAAATTAACTATTTTGGACTGAATATAAACATATGGTTTCAATTAGAAACTTGTAGAGCATCATCAAACACCACTAAATCAACTATTTTGGACTGAATATAAACATATGGTTTCAATTAGAAACTTGTAGAGCATCGTCAAACACCACTAAATTAACTATTTTGGACTGAATATAAACATATGGTTTCAATTAGAAACTTGTAGAGCATCATCAAACACCACTAAATTAACTATTTTGGACTGAATATAAACATATGGTTTCAATTAGAAACTTGTAGAGCATCATCAAACACCACTAAATCAACTATTTTGGACTGAATATAAACATATGGTTTCAATTAGAAACTTGTAGAGCATCATCAAACACCACTAAATTAACTATTTTGGACTGAATATAAACATATGGTTTCAATTAGAAACTTGTAGAGCATCATCAAACACCACTAAATTAACTATTTTGGACTGAATATAAACATATGGTTTCAATTAGAAACTTGTAGAGCATCATCAAACACCACTAAATCAACTATTTTGGAAGGATACAAAACGCCGGGGAAGCATATTTTACGGCGTTCTGTAAAAGCGTTCCATTTGGACGCGTTTCTAAATTTCGGTTTCTTATCGGACCGCATCAACCCGTCCGTGGTCCTGCTCCCCAGTGGCTAAGACGCGCAACACACGTGCGCCCTACTCCATTCTAAGAGGGAGGCGAGGGGGTGGCTTCGCGGCGCGACCACCGGGGAGCAGGACCACGGGCGCATAGATGCGCTCCGATAAGAAACC